TTTTACGGTTTTTACAAATTGAAGTGGTTTTCATTTGATCGCTCCTATATATATATATATATATATATATATATATATATATATATAATATAAGTATGGCTAGTAATCTCGTTTATTGTCGAGCATGAAAAGTGTGACCGGTTTCTATTATCTATACTATATTATAAAATCTTTGATAAAAGCTCTTAAAAACTATTTTTTATGTATAAAATATTGTTTATTAATGCACATTACTTACAATTCAAGATTACAATTAAATTGTGCGTAAAAACATCTTATTAAAACTTCATTTTGAATCTATTAACTAACAACAGATAAACATAATCAAATAAGAATAAACATTTAATTTTAAATAAAAAAAATTAAAATATAATTAATATAATTATTGAGTCATAAGAACATACTTAATTATTGTTTTTATAGAAACTTATATTATTAAAACAAAAAATAAATTACTTCGTTATTAAGTCTAAATAAAATTATAAAAAAAATTTGAATTAAAGAATTTATAAAAAACAAGAACTCTTAAATAGTTAATTTGATACTAATAAGTAATTAATATCTATATATTTTTTTTCCAAACTTTTAAAATATATCTTCAACTTTATATTTTATTCAAAAATAAAAACGTTATCGCTTTTTCAAAACCATATAAAACCATCTTATAACATCGACAAAGACAAAAAATAAAATAAAATATTAAAATCGAAATGTATCTCGCTCCATTGCGCAAGTACCCTTCTAGTTTCTATATAACACAAACACATTTTATCAAATAAGAACCGTCACACAATTAAAACAGAGTTTTAAAATTATTATTTTTAGTCCCATATTGAATATTTAATCCAAGACTATTTTTTACAATAATAATTTGTATGTTTTTTCTTTTTCTAATATGAATGTAAACTTTTTAATATCATTATCTGCTTGAACAATATATAGAAAACATATATATGCATATATATATATATATATATATACACACACACACACACGACATTCCATTAGATTCTGTTTCAAAAGTCTTTGTCCACCAGACATGTAGGAACGCCATATTTTTGTCATTTAGAGGCTGGCTCCATCATATATTTCATAGGAACGTCATCATACTTATATTTACCAGCATTGACACCAAATAAAATACTTTATCGGCAAAAAAAGGGTTTATAGCCATAAACCCTCAAGTCGTTCCGCCCTAAGAGCATCATTAGGGAAAGACGAACATATTTTTTTTGTTCATCCAGCTGCTACTTCATTATCTGCTCTTTTATTTAAACAGTTAATAAACATATATTAATATTTTTTATTATAATTAAACCCATAGTTTAAAATGATAAAGATCCATTTAGGTCATCAAACAAAAAACCCATTAACATCGTCGTTTAGTGTCTAATTTGCATCATTCTGTTAAAAGAGAACGACAAGAAAAACAAGTGAGGCAGTCGGATCGAGTTACAAGAGTAAATACATGAAAGCTTCACAAACAAATGCACAATTAGGAGGATCATGTTAACACGTTTCTTAACTGATTTCAAACACGTTTGGATTTTCTTGAATATCATGTGATGATACGACGTGTATTTTTTGATGGGATTGACTTTTTTTCGTCATCGTTTTTCATGGTTGTTAGAAAAAATTCCAAAATATGTGAATAACATGCCTCAGTTGTTGAATGGTTAACACGTTAGTTTGAAAATTCAACCTAATGCATGGTTGCTAAGAGATCTTCAATCCCATTTACTCCTAACGGGCTATGACATTAGTTGCATCTTCGGACATTACATATATATAGGGTTGGGTTCATGCGAGATCAAAGGTTTTTCGGACATTATAAGTTAATGGTTTTAAAGTTGCACGGTGACAATTTTGTGATTATGAATGTTCAGATTGTAGATCTAATTCAAGGGTTGAGAACTGGTCTTACGGGTCTCACAACAAACCCTTGGTCTCACATGATCCCAAGTATATATATATATATATATATATATATATATAGAGAGAGAGAGAGAGAGAGAGAGAAGAGCACCAAATGAAAACCACTCCAATTTGTAGAAACCGTAAAAACTACTTTCATCCGTCGTTAATCTTATAAATTTTTTTCATGAAATTGTTAATCTTGTCAAATTGTTTCATATAATACTTTTTTTGATGAAGTTGTTTCATGTGGTTATGAAATTGTTTCATATGCTACTTAATGAAATTTTAATGAAACTGTTTCATGTATTTCTCTAAAATTAAATTAATGAAGATGATAATATCAATGATTAACACCCTCCACAATAAAAATGGTTAATCAACCTCTCATAATTACAAAAAAATGAATAAAATAAAAAATTATGATTGATTGAATGAGGTTTTCACGGTTTTTACAAATTGAGTAGTTTTTATTTGAACACACCCCTATATATATATATATATA